ATGTACAAGGGTTTCTGACGTGAAGTAGTCACTCTAGCATGTGATTCAGCACTCTGGTGGCAATGTTAGGAACTGCCAGTTACAGAGATTGAAGTGTGAGCTGGGATATATGGGACTTTTGATGATGCAGATACAACACATTATCCCACTGACCATAAAACACACTTTTTCACCTACTCTTCCGTGGAAATTAAAAAGATAATGATTGATTATTTCAAAGGGTTATCACTTTTATGTCTGGGAAAAATTTGGGATTAAACAGGTTAAAGGACAGTGTCATGAGTTTTACCTTAACAGTCATGAAAAGGGTTAAATCCGCTCTCCTTTAGGGCAGGAACAGGCATTCACCTTTTCAAGAGGGACATCAAACCCAGGGAGTGTGCTGGCCGTCATGTGAAACTCTGGCCTACAACATTGAAACATCCATAAATTTTACAAACCACATGCAGGACACCAAAACATACAAATCAGAGAAGCAAAGAAACCAGCTTGAAAGAACACTTCAACTTAACTCACCACAGGAACAAGGAGTAGTGTCTGTGCAGCCTGAGGAGGTGCACAGTGTGTATACAGAGTAGCATGAATGAGCGACACCTGGAGCCCATTTAGACCTAATCAGGCTCTCTTAAGGTGGACTGACCTTTAAACGTGGCCCAGCCAGTCCTACCACATGCTGTATACAAAGAGGTAGTACTGATATTTAGCCTAGTTCACATTAAAATTTGATTAAAGTTGATATTGAGGGGTGTGTGTTAGTTTCTCAATTGTTTGTATCATCAGCAAACAATACCAGTTTCAAAACACTGGATACTTTTCATATGCCAATAATATAAAGGATAAACTAATTTGGGTCCAACACTGACCCCTGGGGGACGCCATGAGTAATGACCATGAGGAAGAGAACTCTCCCAACTTCCTCAGACGACTGGTTCCTCTCAGGATCCATGCAGGGACTGTATATATCTGTTGACATGTGGCTCTTTTATTTGATTGTTTTGGATCTGTTCCCCAGTTCAGTTGAATTTCCAGGCGAGGAACTATGAATGTGTATCATAAGGATAACAGCCACGGCACTTATTCTTCATCCTGTATTTGCCCATGGTTCTCATTTGCACCTGGCAGCAGCTTCACCTGGGCCTCGGTGCTGAAAGGTCAAGTTCTCTCACTTACCTGCAGTGGTATGACGAATGTTTTAGTTATCAGGTTTTTAAGTATTTTGGAATTTATACGAATGTAGATTAATTTTAAAAAAAGCTAATATAAAGTTAACATAGCCAATTGGTTGTGAGATGAACTGAACTCAGCCGAAACACATCCAATCTCTGTGGGAATTTGCGGCTAACTCTTTGGCGGTATTGTGATCGACTGGACAGAAGCACAAAGATCGACCCTGTGCAACCACGTAAAATACCTCGCGTTAGGTTGTGCCCCGCGCTCCCCAGCAGTGAAGTTACCCCCAGAGAAATGTCGCAAGCTAAGCTATGAGAACTTGATATTGCTAATTGCCAGATGCATTTCTCTGTCTCGGCCTCTTTCAGTCAGCTCTCTGGCTCTGTCAGTAATTCAAAAGCAGAATTCCAAAATATATTTTTTTCACTCAGTAAAACCAGAATAAATAAAAGACAGTCATATAAACAATAAAAATAACAGACTGAAATGAAATCTTTTCTTTTTTTGGGGACATTAGAACATAAACACGTCTTGTCTCCTCTCTTCCCTCTTAATACTGTCCTCTGTCTCTCATCTCTTCTCTCAGTCCTTGTTGTGTCTGTTTCTCTACTGTCCACAGCAAATCCATGAAATATATACAGTCTATGGGCGAGACACGTGACTGATGTGTAATGTAGCCAATCAGAGGCAGAGTAGGGCGGGTCTTCTCAAGAAAAGCCAACTGGTTCCTGTCATTAGATTCTGCAATTATAAAATTCTACTCAAAGAACAAAACAGCAAAAATTAGCCTAAGCACCCTTCAGAAAAACAAATTGGAAGGGGGATTGGATGCTCTTAACTTTACACATTACTATTTAGCTAACCAGCTACAATACCTATTTAAATGGTTATATCCTAACGAATACTACAACTCCTGGCTCGAACTAGAACAGGCGGACTGCAACAACATAAAACTCTCTGACCTCCCGTTTATCACCACTACACTCAGACGTCATAACTGTTTTAAGAACCCAATGATTGCTTCCACCTTATCAGCCTGGTGGAAAACACTAGAAATCACAAAATCTCAAACAGAACCTTGCTTGCTCAAAAGACCTCTCCATTTTAGCACATGGGAGATGAAGGGAGTAACTCATCTCCATCACCTTTTCTGAGATAATATACTTATGATATACACAAACTTATTTCAGACTTTTGAAATAAGAAATGGAAATTTTCTACAATATTTACTATTGATAAAAACAATCAATAAGAGAATTCCAGCGCCTCTGGTTACTTTGCAGCCACCAGAATTTGCCAAACATATTACAAAGCTTTCTCCGAGAAATAAAAAGAACCTTTCTAAGATTTATTAATTACTGTCAGTGACCAGTTCTATACATTTACCAATTTTAAAATGGGAAAAGGAGCTGGGTGTATCACCGGACCCTGACTTCTGGACTCAGATATGCAAAAATACATTTAAGATGACAAGACACACTAATATACAACTTATCCAATTTAAAGTACTCCACAGGACACACATCGCCCAACAAAAGATGAATAGAATGGGCTTTAGTCAATCTGACACATGCACTCAGTGTACTCAGAACACTGCAGACACCTACTTTCATGCACTCTGGTTATGTTCACCCGTCCAGCACTTCTGGTCAACAGTCACTCAAAAACTCTCCTCCATTTTGGACTGCAGGATCCCATTATCTCCCAACCTGTGCTTAATTGGTGACCTGATGACAACTGACCTCCCAAACAGCCACTGCAACTCTCTTCTTGTAGTCAACTGGAAAGATAAACAGACCCTCAACATCAACCATTGGCTGAATCTACTTGCAGAACATATTTCCTTGGAGAAAATATCTGCTGGCCACAGAAACCAATTAACATACTTTACAGAAAAATGGTCTCCATTTATTCACTCACTAAACGTGTCTGTATAGTGCCACTCAGCCTGTGAGCATATGCCACCTTTACATATAAATATTACAACTCAAGAAAGACTGTTGTGTAATATGTAATGTGTTTCTGTTAATGATGTAACCTCTAATCCCTCTATCTCTCTCACCACAATACACCACAGCGGTTCATCAGAACTCAAGGCCTTAAGCATGTTTTAGGTGCACTCTCTCTCCCTTGAATCCGGGTCTGCTCCCTGGCTCTGTGGAGGATCGCAGGGCCAGGGAGCAGACCCGGATTGCCGCCTCCTTGCCTGCTTCATCCGCCCGGGCCTGGGTGGGCTCTCATTACTGTACGCTCCGGCACCCGCCGGTGGCCGGCACCTGGTGCGGGCCCGTCCGGTGCGGTGCTGGTCCTCTCCCCAGGGGCGTCTTGGGTCGTCTGCGTTGGGCGGCGGGCCTTCCTGCCCCGCCCATCTGGGGTGTGTCTCTGGCTCTCTGGGGGTGCTGGCCATTGCCGGCCCGGGTCCTAGGGCCTGCGTGGTGTCCTGCAGCCTCTGCGGCTCCCTGAGCGTGGGGTCTGGGCGCTCCTGCGGCCTTGGGGTGCCTCGCCGCCTGCCTGTCTGTCCCTTACTTTCCCCTTGGCACACTACGGTGTATCACGGCCCTCTCTGACTCATATTAGGAAGTTTTTCCAATAAAGGCTGATAGGCTAGTCTCCAGGGAGGGTGGGTGACGGTCACAACCACGCATTATGGGTATAAAATACTTGACTGCAAGATTAACAGTGCATCAATCTTCATAAAAAGCTTACACCCTTTTGTGGCGCTAAGCTATGAAGACCAATGCAGACAGGTTTGTAAAGAAAAAAAAAAAAAAGAAAAAAAAGAATGGCCTTTTAATTGTGACCTGCCTGAGGCACACCTCCATCCATCCATTTTTCAACAGCCAGGTCATTGGTGCAGCAGGCCGAGCAGAGTATTCCAGACCAGTCCAGTCCCTCTCCCCAGCAACACTTTCCAGCTCCTCCTGGAGGACCCCAAGGCGTTCCAAGGGCAAGATGAAATATATAATCCACCCAGAGTGTCCTCTTCTAGGGTCAGAACTCCTTTCAGGAGGCGCCCAGGAGGCATCCAGATCAGATGGCTGAACCACCTCAACTGAACCCTTTCGACGCAAAGGAGCAGCAGCTCTACTCCGAGCTTCCTCCGGATGTCTGAGCTCCTCACCCTATCTCTGAGGCTGAGCTCACGGAGGAAACTGATTTTGGCCACTTGTATCCACGATCTCATTCTTTTGGTCACTACCCAGAGCTCATGACCATAGGTGAGTTGGGACGTAGATGGACCAGTAAATCGAAAGCTTTGCCTTCCAGCCCAACTCCCTCTTCATGAGGCACACCTGTGTAGCAATGATGCTGTTTAATCAGCACTCTTGATTTGCCACACCTGTCAGATGGATTATTTTAGTGTTCATATAACGTGTACCGTAGAGTGTGTGCCCCACCAGCTGGAATGGGCATGGCGCACATGTGACCTAATGTGATTATAGAAATCATAAAACATTGCACTTTGGCATTAGTTATCATCATTTAATATCTGTGTTTATACATTTCCATACATCTACTGTCTGAAGAGTTTATCCTGCTCAGGTATGCAGGTGACACGTTGTCATGCTTCGCTGTTTCACTGCCAAGAATGATCCTGTTCAACAGGACTTTGACAAGAACTTCACGTCTCATTGCTTGCAGAGGGGGAAGTGGTGCCATTTGATCCACTGAACTAATAAGTCTGTACAGATGGTCACTGATAGTTGATATAACTTTATAATTTTATAACCCACCTGGCACCGGGGTGGAGGAGGTTTAGATGTTTATTTACAACAGATAATTCAGTGTATATAAGAGCTGCTGTTTCTCTTGTTCAGCAGCTCCACACAGAAGACTGAAGCTACAGGCTGACACTGAGGAGAAAGAAGATAATCCTGCACAAGGTTTGCTTTATCTCTTCACTTCTTTTCCTCTGCTCTGTTGTCTCTCATCATCATCTATGCATCTTCTAATGGACTCTATACTCATGCAGTCCTCACATGAGCTCTCTTCAGAAGCATCACTCACATGTCTGTTTCCTTTCATTGAAGATCATTTTTACCCTCTGCATCATCTCAACCATGAAGATGCTGGCTGTGTCTCTGTTTGTCTGTGCCATGATGGCTCTGACCAGAGCTGCTGGTGAGTATTAACATTTGTGGCAAGACTGTTAAGAATTGTTAACGATACATCTTGTTCTCTTTATCACTGAACCGAGTCGGGAGTCAATTTTAATTTTTATGGCCAAGTAAGAAATGAAAAAAGTAAGAATTAAAGTTGAAAGTCCATAAATTTGATTTGCAGGTAAGGGTGGAGCAGGTTGTCCACAAATAAGAAATTCTGTGGTTCGGTCCCTGGCTCCTCCAGTCCGCATGTCAAAGTATCCTAGAGGTTTTTTGAGGTTTGAGGTTTTTTATTTTTGCACAGAAAAATATAAAATACAACATAAAAATAAAATATACTCTAAAAAACACAGTGCAGGAAGAGGCAAAGAAGCCGATTGTTTTGGTGCGCACCTGAGTGGGATTGCTGTGTGAAAGCACCCTCAGTGGCTGTCACTTATTGTTTCAGTTTTAAAGCTAAAATTTTAGTATTCTGGTTGGTTGAATTGTGGCTTCTTCTTTTTTTTTTTTTTAAACAATTTTCAGCTGTTATATGTGAACCTTCCCATTTTCAGTTCTTCTCTACTTTTGTTCTCAGAGAAGAGCCCCATAATGAAGAGGTCTACATCTTGTCCCAGTGGTTGGACTGGTTACAATGGTCGCTGTTTCAGCTACATTCCAACTGTCATGACTTGGGCTAATGCTGAGGTAGAGTTTGAATTCTGCTGTTTTTGGCCTTTACATGTTGGTAATCTACATATTCTTTTAATTTGGTGTCTTTGCATAATTTCATATGTGCTGTCTCATTTGTGTGATTCTACTCTCTTTGTCCTCGTGTAGAGACATTGTCAGAACTTAGGTGGAAACCTTGCATCAGTGCACAGCTTCAACGAGCAGCACGCCATTCAGAGTATGATACTGCAGCAGGCTCATGCGTATCCACTAACATGGCTTGGAGGCTCTGATGCAGCACAGGTATGTTATGTCTTATACAGAATGTTAAAGTAATTACCTAAATGTGTGTTTAACCCTGATGCTCTGGTGAAGGTTCTCAGTCATCCAGGTCATGGTAATCCAAAGGGTGCTGCCCTGTTTGGTTCATTTTCCCCCTAAATGCGGTTCATTTGGGCAGGTGTGAACACAGCTATCACACTCAGATGCACATCAAAACAACCGGGCTGAGACCTTCTTGAAGAGGTGGTCTTGGCCTGGTTACAAACAAACTCAGCGGTGCACAGTGCTTAATTTGTAAAATTAGAAGTAGGGGAACAATTTGCCTCTGAGAGAGCAGTGTTCCCCTACTTCCAAAAGTGGGGGAACACTTTTTTAAGCGGCACCCGAGCCACTTCACTGCGCAACTCTGAATGGAATGGTTGTGACATCTAGTGTTGTCACGGTACCAAATTGGGACCCATAGTATGATACCAGTGAAAGTATCATGGTTCTGAGTAGTATCATGATACCACAGCAAAAATGAGGCAGATGTGCCTTTTGCCATTTATAAAAAGATAAATCACTTTTCTATAATACATCAATGATATTTCAATGGAATAAATTACTTATTGACTTATTCATACTTCAAAAACAGCATCAATAAGTGATTAACATAGGGGGGATCAAAATAAAATAAATAAATGAAATAAAAATCAAGCAGCCACCCTCCTCCCCTGACAAGTAAAGAACAGTCCCTTCAGTGCGGTGAGGTTTGTGGACCGTTACCTGACACAAAGAGAGAAATGTGAGCGGCTCGTTTCTCCTCTGACACGTCACATACCTGTGTGCCGCCACGGCTCGGTTGTCCAGGTACTACTGGGCAGTCATGACGCCAAGGAAAGAGGAAATTACTGGACCTGGAGTCGAACTTCTCTGTCACCGGTAAGCCGTTATCTTGCGCTGCAGAGCACTATGAGCCTCCGCCGTATTCCTGTCTGTGACCCCCGTTCAACCCACAACCGGCAGGATTCGCCTTTCGTTTCTGCTGCTGGTTGAAATCTGTACTCACACAGCGTGCTCCTGAATGATTTATTTTGCTCACACAAAACTATTTTTAGTCGCAAATGCGAGTAAAATGCTCGCACGTAGAGCTCTGTGGAAAACAAATCATTGCCGACAAGTAAAAAGAAATAAATAATAACTTTCACTGCTCAAAGATGCTCACATGTCTGGAAAACAAACCACTCCAGCAGCATATTGAGTGCCAGCTGGCCGGCGCACGCTGGCCACCTGGCACTGGTTATTGACCAGTGTGCGCCCTACTCCAACATTTTGGTATCATATGTACTGTGGAGTTTTAGTACCGCGGTCTACCGTTACCAATATACCCTGCAAAACTCAGCCAACAGCCAAAATCAGACATCAGCCAATACTGTATGTGATTTGTAGATGGGACCCATGGAAATTAGTTCCGGAACGCACCAGGGCCTTTTCTGAAAAGATTCTGGTATGTGTTCCAGTACATTCTGGCTCAAATTAAGCACTGGCGGTGCAGTACATTTGGGTTGAAATCGTGTTCCAACGTCGATCCCAACCAACTGCTTAAGATATGAACATTGCTGTCCTCAAAGGACTGTCCCTTCTCCTTTAGATGTAAATAGACAGCTGAATCCAGCAGTTTGGTGCGGCTTCAGCAGTGACATAGGCACAGTGCAGGCAGGACTTGACGCCAACTTTTTTCCCAAGGAGCACATGTGCTCTTAAGTTGAAAAAGTAAGGAGCGCACAAAGAACTTTAGGGGCACAATGTAAATTGATCAAATAATGTGTTTTCCGTAATAAACGTGATGCAAATAGACATTTACAAGCAAAATTATTTAATGAATTTGTATACAAAATGTACAGAAAGGTAAAATCATCAAGTTTTGAAAAAGTATTGCAATTTAATTTTGTCTTTAATGTTATTATCTTATATATATTATCTTTGCAATATGATTATCTTATTTAATGTTATTACTATCCTAAAACATTCTCCAGGTCCTCTGAAACTCTGCAGGACTTAAGCCTCTTTCACACAGAGCGCGATTTTCATGGCGCCCACCGCGGGGTAGGGCTCAGAGCAAGCGGAGAGCAAGGCGCGCAAGACAGGATTTGGAGGAGTACAGGCTCGTTCAGGAGCTACAGCTCCATGGTGACCGCTTCCGGGTCTACTTCATGCTCTTCTCTGCTATTGGACGTGCCGAGGTGTCGCCACAGCGCGATGCGGTGAAATTAAAAAATTTTCAATTTGAGCGCAGGCTGGTGGCGGCATCAGCTCGGCAGCAGAGCGGTGCGCTCTTGCGCCGCGGTAGCACATACACAGTGAATGGGTTCGTCGGTGCTCGGCAGAGGTCTGCGCTTTGCGCGCTCTGTGTGAAAGGGCTTTATTTCCACCCTGCCCAGCAGCGGTACCGTGGCGAACGGTCCCTAACTGCCGGGAGAACGGAGCAGGCTTCACCGGAGGTCCGCCGCTTTTCCCGGTCCCTCATCTCTACACTTTGACTTATTTCCACCCAGCCGACAGCCTGGCCGTGGAGAACGGTCCCTAACTGTGGGGAGAACGGAGCAGGCTTCCCCAGAGGTCCGCCGCTTCCTCCACACTTTGACTTATTTCCACGCTGCTGACAGTGGGACTTATATTCATTGTGCCGACAGTGGCTTGGAAAACCGCTCATAGCCGTGTCACACAGGGAAGAGGGAAGGCGGCTGGAGTTCCTCCAACATTTGCAGTTAGATTATCATATTTTTTTGTTGACAAAAATATAGGCTGCTTAGGCTGTTTTTTTATGCGCACATGTGCCCCTAAATATTTTTTACAGTTCGCACCTATTTTTAGTTGTAAATGCGAGTGAAACGCTCGCACTGTCGAGCGCTGGCAGGACAATTGTGGTGAAGAGGGAGCTGAGCTGGAAGGCGAAGCTTTATATTTACTGGTCCATCTATGTCTCAAACCTCACTGATGGTCGTGAGCTCTAGGTAGTAACTGAAAGAATGAGATCGCAGATACAAGTGGTCGAAATAAGTTTGCTCTGGGCTCAGCCAGAGAGATAGGGTGAGGAGCTCGTACATCCAGAGGGAGCTCGAAGTAGAGCCGCTGCTCCTTTGAATCAAAAGGGGTGAGTTGAGGTGGTTCAGGCATCTGATCAGGATGCTTCCTGGACACCTCCTGTTAGAGGTGTTAGGGGCACGTCCCACTGGTAGGAGGCCCCGGGACAGAATGGGAATGCCTTGGGGTCCCCCAGGAGGAGTTGGAATGCATTGCTGGAAAGAGGGATGTCTGGGGTGGTTTACTTCGCCTGTTGCCCCCACAACCTGGCCTCGAATAAGCCGATATAAAAATGGAGTCTTGACCTGAGGAGCTGGCTCTCCTGTGTTGTGCCATGCACTTGTGGAGTGTTTGTTTCACCAGTTTAAAAATCTGTGCATTCCTGGCTGTTTAAACCAAACTGTCTGTCGTATTATATTGTTCTCTCATCTTCTAGGAGGGTACCTGGTTCTGGAGTGATGGTAAACCTTTCAGGTTCAACTACTGGGATAAAGGACAGCCTGATAACTATGCAAGCGCACACTGTCTGGTGATGAACTCTGGAGGTAAATTTATATATTGCTTTTTTTTTTCTGCACTAAGGTTTATGTATTTTAATGACATGTAAAAAGATTCCATCCAGTTGAGTGAGGTAATTCTACCATAAATCAAAAAAGTACCATTTAATTAAAGCAGCTGTGCGGAACTTTTTGTTTTCGTTGATTATAGCGCCCCTTTGGTCGAAGCGGTATGACACCCACAGCCTGGTGTTGTAAAATTCCGACTGCAGCCGGCATTCAGCTTCATTCGTAAAATCTCAACTGCAACCAGCAATTACCGCATGTATTTGTTTTGGAGAGCGAGAGGATTAATGTTACTGACGTCAGGTCAGTCCAAGTAATTAGTGGAAACAGCAAAATTACTCAGTAAATTCTCCTGTTTTTGTTGTGATTCTGTTCTGATCTAATCCTAACACAGCAAAGCTGTTACCTGTAGCCTTTGCTTGCAAAGCTAACGCTACTAACGTTAGGTCAGTCCAAGTAATTAGTGGAAACATGCTAACAAGCTAAAGTTACACATAAGTTAGTAGTAAAGTAAGACCTGTTTATAAATGTTCTGGTGTAGCTCTGAATTTCTTATAAACTGAGGACAACTGCAGGGGCGTGTCCAGACATTTTTGATAGGGATGGCCCCAGTGGGTCACTGACTTTTGCAGGAATGGCATGAAGTGTGAGCAGGAGCGCCTGTGCACACACATACACTCACATACGAACGTGCAAACGCGAACACATACCCACACACACAGGTGTTGGCATAGCATTAATTTACCATTTTTGTCTCCACAACCCATATCTACTTCAATTACTAACACTGCAACAAAACATAGACCTAAAAAAAAAACCGACAACCTTCCAAGATACGCTATACATACAAAAGAAGACATTGCACATTCACACATATGGTCACTGTATAACACTGTCAACGGTATAAGCCACTGTAGTGTAAGTGAAATATCCCAGTCCAAATCAATGCACATAATGCACATTAAGGGTCTTTCATCTTCACCATCCACATGCGACTCTATAATACATACGCTGTGATTAGAATGATAATAAACTCAGTCTTTTCCTAAGTAACATACCTTAGTATGTAGTAGTATGTAATAGTAAACTAAGTGTTATGTTAGCCAATCCAGATAACCTAAATGAATTTAAGACTATTGCACCTTAACACATATAATAGACAAGTTTCTAAATTACCACAATATCACTGGTATTAGGGCAAGTGAGTTCATAAATTAAATAATAAGTTCAAACATGAGAAAAATATGGAACTATCAGGATTTTACATACCTATTTGTACAGCTGAAGCTGAAGGCTCCTGCTGTACATCTTTAATGACACGCTGGCTCTCATCCTCTGACTGACTGCTCTGGCCCTGGTTTCTTTCTTTTGAAGAAATCCTGCATATTCTTCTGATTTCTTTTCATACTGTAACAGTCCCTTAATGCATGTCGCTCTATGTATTGTACAATAGATAATTATGCATACACAAATGAAAACGAAATGTAATTGACGTTATTCAGGTCTATCATAACAATGTTACGCAGTACAGATTTACATAGCTAAGTGTTAGCTTTCGCATCGTTGACAGCCCAAACAGTGTTTGCTAATGAGATGAGATGATTACAGACTTGTGCCAATTACAATAAAAGAAAAAAAAAAGACTGGAGGAACTTTTTAGCTCATTGCTGTTACTGCTTTTAACAACAGGCACAGTGTAGTTACCAAAAAATGTAGGCTACTCAAATGTTCATGGTAACGCTGTAAACTCCGAGATGAGATGCTTCAGAGACATGCGTTGCTTCACGGGTTGCTCCTGTCAATCACAACTTCTTCTTCCCGTCCCGTTTTTCTTTTTTGAAGGCAAGTTACTACTTTAGTGCATTACTGTCTCTCAGGTTTAAGGTGGGACTGCAACTTTAAAAGTGCGGTTCACAATCAGCTTCGTGGTGGCCTGCCTCTAAATGGGCATATAGCTCATCAAATTTTAAGATATTGGGGTGGCACCTGGGTTGGCCAATCAGATTTCAGAGGTGGCCCGTGCCACCTAAGGCCACTCCCTGCACACGCCCCTGGACAACTGCCTGCTGTATATTTGTGTTCATGGTCACAGTCAGATAATTTTGTGGCGTTTGTTGTAACGTTACTAGACAAAAGCGTCAGCTACATTTAGCTTGCTTATAACTTCCATGTCGTCATATATTGAAGTGAAACAACGTCTAACAAGTTGTGTTATATTCTCTAAATAAAAACAAAAATTACATACCTGTCTATTAGGAAAAGGGCCAACTCTGGATCAGTTTTAAAACCTTTCAATTCTCTCAGCTCTCTCTACTTGGTGAATGCCTGACCGAGGTTTACACGCGTTTTGGCTCGAGCCCTATCACTGTCCCGTTTAGCCGCCTTCTGTTCTTTTTCTTTTAGATGGTGCTCCTTCTTTATCCGCCATGACATCTAAAGTACAACCAAGTCCTTATAGACACATCTGGTAAAACTGTTATGTGTTCAGCAATGCCCGTTGCGTACCGCTTACTCGAAGAACACTCTCTCAAAACACGGCTCCTTCTTCTTCTGTGGTTTAATGGCTGCGGGCCACTGTGGGCGTGCAGAATTACTTCCGCCTCTGGGGGCCGTATTCTGGTTTGCTGACTTCCGCTGTGTCCGACCCGAGTGAGGCTACGCTAAATATCCATATAGAGAAAGGCTTTTTTGTCGCTGTTGGGTTCAAATAAATATGCAGATCTTCAAGGGGGGGTGATATGAACTAGGGACAGTTTTATGAATGATAAAAAGTTCCGCACAGCTGCTTTAAATCAAATCAAACTGACATGAAAAGCAGAGGTAGAAGTCGTTGTTTTGCATGTCACAAGTTAGTCTCAAGTCTTTGCACTCAAATCCCAAGTCAAGACTGACAAGTCCAAAATCCTTAGCTTTGAGTTTAGAACCCTAAACAAGTCAAAATGCTCTCCTTACCGACGTCAACACATTCTCACTCTGACCTGTAAACATATCAATGTTTGGTCGTGGACTTTCCATATCGAGATATGACATGCGCCGTGTCATTTTCAACCTGTTACATGCATTGTCTGTTTCCAAAGTACGCTTCAGTTTTCACAGGAAATATACTGTTTACATACAGTCTCTTTCAAAATAAACTCACTACATCAGTATAACACCATGAATTGAATTGAATGTTTTTCTTTCAACAACAAATGCACGTGGTTACGTTTTGCCTACACATGCATTTGGTTGAGTTTTGGAAAAAAGAACAGGCTGTGGCTTTACAATCACACCGGAAGCGAACATCAGCCTCACAGGTGAATGTCAGTGGTTGTAACCCAGCCTACTTGAACTTTCGCCGCCTTAACTTTCCTTGTTGTCCTGCCACAGTTCCCCCGATGCCGCTGAACAGTGTTAAATAATAACAGCGACCGACCACGTATCATGCTGACGTGAAGGGATGTTTTTTTCGTCGTTGTCTGATGGCAGAAGTCACTGACCAAGCGCTGGTTTTTCACGACACCGGAGTGAAACCAGGTTGGAATGTCATACAACCTTAACAACAGAGTCAAAATATATTGATGATTGCTTTTGTATTTATTTGTTAAACAGGTTTTTAAAAAAGTTACTTTGCTGTTAAGCTAACATTAGCTTAGCATTAGCTCACTAATATTAGCTTCAGCTTATTGTTCCTTGTATAACTTCAAATGTCGCACAAAGTTGGAAGTTGTTGCCTCCCCGTCTATAATTTTGGATGCACACATATTACATACATACATTTTTTATTTTATTTTTTTACCACAATGTACTTTTTAAATGAAATTATCTTTGATATCATTTTTTCAACCTGATCTCAGTAACGTAACTTAAGCCCGTCATGGTTCTCTCCTGCAATTTGACTGGATGGATCGGATTGTTTCAAACAAAGTGGTTCACGGGAACCAAGTCAGAGTGCTCAAGTCCAAAGGCCCGTTTCCACTGAAGAAGTTCCTGGTACTATTTGGGGGCAGGAACTACAACAGGAACGTCCTCTCGCTCAGCCCTCTCAACCGCCGTGTCTCCATTGAGAGAGCGGAGTAGGAGGAAGGTTCCTGTAAAGTTACGGGCTCTGGATGTGACGTAATTGTTGCGCGACCATTTACCGCGGCGACGTAGGGACACCGTTAGCTGTTAGCCCTTAGTGGTGTCTGTAATAACTCACTAAATGGCCCGTGAAATTTTTTTTTTTTCCAGCGGATGTCTTACTTACAACATGATTGAGCTAACTGGAGTAGTTTCATGTCGTATCCGACAACGGGAGGCTTTTAACAGATGACGTCCTGATGTTAGCTTTGCTGCTGCTGTTAGCTGTCCCTGTCAGCTGATGCTTTCTAGACATCGTGATTTGCCAAAACTGAATAAATACCACACATAGCAACACAAAACTGCTTTGCTAGCTTAATCATGTTGTAACTAAGATATTCGCTGGAAAAAACTTTTTTTTCCACGGGCCATTTAGTGAGTTTTTTTTAACATGGCGGCGAAAGCTATATGAACAAGCTAACCCTCTTCCAAAAAATGCCAGCTATTTAGTTGCTTTCTGTTGTCATCACATCCCGCCTTGAGTATATCCAACCAGCACCAAGTAATCCCCAAGCCCCAGCCAGGATTCTTTCGGGGCCATTCTGAGTACCTCCCCCGAGGCAGGGACTTGTTTAGCCCCAAGACTATTCAAGAGAAGGCTGGGACACGGGGTCAAACATGGGGGGATTGCACATGCGCAGTGTAACTTAAGCTGCGATGCTGGAGGGTGACAGCAGGGGCGCTAGATAAAAAGTGCAGGATCCGCTCAGGCGATCAAGGAGTGCGGTCTGCTTGGACTTTCGGACAGTGGCTGCCTGAAGTTGTTGGAATTGCATCTCTGTCATTCTCAGCCACAACGCAGGTCACCAGTGACAGTCCAGTAATAAGCTGTGAAAATGACATGCATGCACATCCCCCTTATTCCTCGGTTTCACGTCATCTACTGAGCCTTTCAGGAAATGCAGACCAGATTTTACTGCGCATGTGCAATCCCCCCATGTTTGACCCCGTGTCTCAGCCTTCTCTTGAATAGTCTTGTTTAGCCCCGTAAAAGTTCCAGAACTCTGTCCTTCGGGGGTGGTTCCTGTGGTGGAGACACACACCAACGGCCCCGGCCCCGTAAAATTACCCCTAAATTCCTGCGGTGGAAACGGGCCTCAAGTGAAGTCATAAGTCATTGGTGTTAAAATACAAGTTCTTTTTTTTATTTTTTGTCTAAAGTCATCAAATTTGTGACTCGAGTAAACACCTCTGAAGAATAAAGAATTTCCGTATAGCTCATACAATTCACCTAATTTACCTTAATAAAGTTTATTCAGTTACTGTTGATACATTCTGTGTACTCCAAATATGTCTATGTCAACGTCTAACATTTTTAATCAACATCAATATAAGGGATGATGTTGGTCAGATCTGGTAAGATTTTTAGTTTGGTTTCCCAATGATGAGGTACAATAAACGAGAATGACAAGTTCTAAAAACCAAGTGGTCCATTAACTGACTCAGTGAATTACATTTCTACAACAAATTCACTGTTCTTTTGTTGTTGCTGTTTTCTCTAAAAATTCAGATAGATATGTGTACCTGGCCCCATGAAACACTTTTAAATGGTTCACTGATTGTCTGAGAAGGTAGAAAGTTTATCTCCAAATAACTCCCTCTGTCTTTTTACAGATCTCAAGAAATTTGATGATCAGCCTTGTCATTACACCAAGCCATTTGTCTGTGCCATGAAGCCATGATGTCTCTTTGGATGAAATAGAAACATGCAGTGCCAATCACAGCCACAGGATCTGGATGGATATGTGATTTTTATCTGTGTGTTTTTATCATCTGTAACCTCTTGCATGTAGTAATCAATACTTCCTTCCTACCACTATAACACTGTTTAAAGATTGTACACTTTTAACAGTTCATTCTGTCGAGTTTTTCTGGTCTTATACTCAATTAAAAGGCTCAAGCATCGAATAAAAGCCAGTCTGTGAGTCTGATTGATCCTACATTGCACCCTTGAATACTCACAAAAATTTGGTATAAAAGATTATTCACAGGATTTCAAAACCATCTCCATAGACCCACAGTTTGCTACGATTTTTATGTCAGAACATCAGCGAACACCACTGACTACTCAGGGAGTTTAATGGCTTTGAAAACCAACGTTAGGGTGGTTTTAGGACAGGTTCACACATGGCCATAGGCAGCAGTGTTAAGCCAGGCAGGGGAAAGACAAATTCTCCGAAAATGAGCAATCGTCAAATTTTGGTCTTAACCACTCTATTTCATCATAAGCAACCCAGAAATGGGGCTCTGAGTGCAAAATACCAGACCTCTCCTTTAAGTAGAATGAAGTATAAGGTCAAGTTAACCCACAATGTGATGTCATCATATGAGGACACAGGGTCTCAGGAGGATAAAGACATGATATTTAGGAGGCAGAAGGTTGAAGAAGGGGTTTGACATTCACCAGTTGGGATTACTGTCTACGTATATACATATACCTACCTACCTAACTACATATATAGTTTATACTTGTAAGTCATGGATAATTGGTTATTAATATCATATACGTACATATACATGGGTTATTTCTGTGTGACAAAGGAATTATCTGTATAAGGAAGCTGTCCGTTTCATTTCACTCAGTGATTTATGGAGACAGTCTAGGTCTTTATTTCCTCCTGCTCCTTTTCGGATGTGTACATCATAGTATTTGCTTTTACATTATGATTTTCATTATTGGTGAGTATTACTTTTTCTGTCTGTCTGCTTGTTTGAATGATCATATCTTTTTTTTCACGTTTGAAATAAATATCAATATTTCTACTTAACTTAAATGTACATATTTAAAGGATAAATTTACTGGCAGCTGGGCCTGTTACTGGCTAAAAGAGTTATTGCTCTTTTGTGGAAGAAAGTCGGTACGTCGAGTGTGGGTAAATGGATTTCTGAACTATAAACAACTCTGCCCTTGGAAGAAAAAAAAATCACATATGCTATCAGGGGTAATCAGTCCCTCTTTCACAACACCTGGGGTCCCTTCATGTGTTATCTAGAGAGGACAGACCTAACCCACATGTTGGAAGCACCGGGGATTCGCTGGAAGTGAACCTATGCAAAGATCAAATCTATCAAAGTTTTTTCTTTCTTTCTTGTTAATTGTTGTCAATTGAAAATTGCCAAAGTAGTTCCAATCTACATAAACAGTGACCAGCACATGGTATCAAATTACAGACCTGTGTCACTGCTACGCTAATTTTCTAAAATACTTGTAAAAAATGATTTGTAAACAGACTGGACAACTTTGCTGAGCAATATGAGTTACTGTATGACCATCAATATGGGTTTAGGAGTAGTCGATCTACATTGCGGTGATGGACTTTGTGGAAAATATAGCAACAGCAGCAGATAAAAAAACAGCACACTGTAGGTGTATTTATTGTTTTACGTAAAGCATTTTGACACAATTGATCATTCCCTCCTTCTTCAGACGTGTGAACGCTATGGTGTAAGAGGTGTCACATACCCTTGGTTAAGAAGTTATTTAAATAACAGATATTAGTTTCTAAAATCAATAATGCTGAATCACATCTTAGAGGAGTAACCTGTGGTGTTCCACAAAGTTCGGTATTGGGACCCAAGTTATTTGTACACTATTTAAATGACATTTGTAAGGTATCTAATATGTTGAAATTTGTAACATTTGCTGATGATACAATTTTCTTTTGTTCAGGAGAGGACAAGGGAATTGATCAAAAAATTTAAATTGAATTGACTGATTGAAATTGAAAAAATGGTTTGCTGTTAATAAGTTATCACTAAATGAAAAAAAAAATCATGGTGTTCCGTTGTGTTAGGGCTAAATAAAACTGAACTTAAAATGGTTTTGAAATTGAAGGAACATATGAAACAAAATTTTTGGGAGTGATTATATCTCATAAACTATGTTGGAAGTGACATATGGAACATATTAAACGCAAACTATCTAAATCTACTGCTGTTCTTTATAAGAGAGTCTGTCTTACTGTGCTGAAATTTGGGAAAATATTATTTTTATAATTTATCTTTATTTTTATTGTATCTGTTTATTTTATCTTTTTTAAATTCATACTTTTGGGGTGGGGGTGGGTTAAATACTCTACGGTTGTACTGAGATTTTATCCTAGTGTCTTTTTCTTTTGCGTGTTTGTAGGTGCGTACAGTATGTACACGTACTGGATGTGGGTATGTGCATGTCTTTGTTTTCTGCTGTTTGAAAATCAATAAAGATACCATTGGGGAAAAAAATGACAGGCAGCTGTTGTGACCGGTAAAGCTCGCTGGGTGTTGGGCAAATGAGTAGATTAAACACAGACTCACAGACCAGCAGGTTTCATGGCTTGAGCCTTTTAATTTTGCGTCAGACAAGAAAGAACAGTTAATTTTCCGGGAGAAAAAAAAGGTGCTAAAAGCATCAATGTCATATCACATTCAGTCTGCTCTTATTAAAGGCACAAGGCCTCAGAGACAATCCATCTCCTTTATATGTCACTTGTCGCTTCATTCCTTAAGTAGCATTACAGCGATAGAAAAACAGAAGATAGAGATATGAAGCCTTCAGGTTTCTATATAACACTGATGCCACAAACACAGGCGAGTGTTTCTCCTCTTTACCGGCTCTTCATATCTCCGTGTGGGCCCAGGAATCATCACATTTTCCTGGCACAGACAAACGGGAGACGATTCAAACAGTTGAGGTCATCCCAGCGCTTTTTTGCTGTAAATACAAAAAGCACAGGGGCGTTTATTCTTGTTCTGTACACAAACCTCAGCACACACTGTGTCTGCCACCGTCTGTTGTACTGTCGGCATTATGGTTACTGTTTTAAGCATTCATAATACAAATAATGAAATACTGACTTGACCCAGCAAGCAATAGTCGTGATTTAAATGTATTGGCTATATTTAGCTCCGATTTAGTCTAGCTACATGTAACCCAAATCTAGCCGATTTAATTTTGAAAATGATTAAATGTAATTTTCGCCATTGCAGATGGCGTGCGGTATGATATTTTTTTTGGACATGGTCTATACATAGCCGTATAATTGATGACGTCTACACTTTGGCTGTGGTTAGACGTCTACCAACTTTTCACTGACAGCCCAAATTCAGCTGTGATTTAGCCTAGACGTCAGGTCTTCATGTAGACGGCTATTAGATGTTTTTAAACCAAAAAATGCTTCCTGGGGATGATGCTATTGATCCAAAAAAATATGGATTTATGTCTCAGTTTATCATTTGCACCACTTATATATGAAATAATCATCTTTAAAATATCCACAAACAGTTTTGAATTTATTCGTCATTCATTCTTATATTGGTTGGGATTTTTTTTCTGCAACAGTCATTCAATGTTTTTACTGTTGTATTTATTGAAGATGAAACTTGAGATCAATCACGATCAAATTTGCAAATGCGGATCAACTCAGAACTGTACTTACACCACCTGTGCACTGTGAACAGGATCTCCATGTTTGCTTTGCTATTTAGCCCTCTAGATCACATGCCGTTGCACTGGGACGCTTGAAAAAAAAAAGACAAAACCACGTCGGCCTGTAACGCTTGCAAGGACGAAGGATGAGGAGTAGTTTGATCCACGAAAGATACTGCATCTTTGCAGGTGTGGAATGTCGAATACATCAAACGGCAACAGTCTACAGCACAAAGACACTAAGGTTTTTGTCCAATTTAAAGTTCATGTGAAAGTGAGGCGCTTCATAACCACAGTGCGGTGAGACGAGACCCCATCAGAGCTGAGGTTGACCAGAAAGAGACCCGAGTCCTCTTTCAAATGAACTGATGATATGAACACAAAAAGAACCGAGTCCCTTCTCTGTTGGTCCATTTTTTGGTGCACTTTAAGAGGACTGAGTTTGGTTTATTTAAAAACTACTATATGTGAAAACACCCTAAAGTAGCTTAGATCTACAAATTGATGAGTCAGTGTTCGTCTTTATTTGGCTTCATACTGAATTGACCTGTGTGTTTTTATTGTTGCCAGCTAAACTCAAGACACAATCACAGTTGGTCGCTGGGCCGTAATTAAGGATATCGTTGCATTCTGATACTGAACATAGGTTACTAGTAGTCAGCTGTTAAATTTCCAAAGCAGTTATTTTGCATAAATACAGTACAGTATGTGAATCCTGTGTCATCACTGAGGAGAACTTGCCTGACATTGACATTGCATGAAAGACGTGAAAGAAGAAATACTTTTGGCTTTTGTAAAACATTGCCTGCCCTGTTACTGACCTCATAGGATGTTACTGCTGTCCCCATGGTAACCTCCAGTTAAATATTACAACTTTAATCTCCCACTAGATATTTTTTAGATTTGATTTACCTCCAAAGTTCATTTGTATACAGTGCTGTTTTCGGCCTAGATTGTCGGGCTGTCCATCAGACCGGTGCAGATAGGTAAATTCTGAACCATCACTCCACAGCCAAACACCCTCCTGGAGACAATATGACGTCAGTAAAAACAGTTTGAATCAAATGCATGTCAAATCAGATCTTGTGTACTAATGAATAAAAATACCCCTGGTGCATCAGTGCCGCCAATCCATGACAATTGATGGTGATGACCGGCGGCCACTATCAGCCTCTGAATCTCCTGGTACTCCTTTAGGCTATGTACTGATGCAAGGTTTCCACCAATGGACTGACAGTTTTTCTACAGTAGAGATAAGTCAGAGGAAGATGCCAATAAATGAAGAGTGCTCGTCAGCACAAACAAAACAAACTTAACATGGAATCAAAGTCATTTAGATTACCTCGGCTTTAGCCCAAGACATGGCTGTTGGAACATAGCGGAAACAACGACCATGGATCTCAGACCAATCGCTGGGACAACATGTCGACCTCTTGACCTCGTGGCGCTCAGCTGAAAACAAACCAAGAGAATTATGGTGTACAACATGATTGACAGGATTAGATTATGGTGTTGCCAAAAAACAAAACAAAAACAAGACCAAGTTGATACAAAGGTTTTCAAAAAATTCAAAATGAAAAGATCATATCATACTACCACATCATCTCTATTCTGGCCTCTTCACACTAACAGGTTTAGAGTTTACTTTACGGGTATAACCTACTTTGGCATTTTGGGAAACACCTTAATTTGCTTTAATGCCTAGTTAGTAAGATAGATACTTGACATTTAAACAGTTTGGAGTCTTTTTTTTTGCCTTAAAAAAAACAAGACCCACTGACCTGCAGGATCCTGATTGGGCTTCACTTCTGTAAGATTTGAAAAGTGTGACATGTCATATATGACATACTGACTTGGTTAATCTCAAGACAAGTCAATAAAATCCCTTCGTTTTTTATACACAAAATTATCTCTTTATAATACTCACCAGCAGCTCTGGTCAGAGCCATCATGGCACAGACAAACAGAGGCACAGCCAGCATCTTCATGGTTGAGATGATGCAGAGGGTAAAAATGATCTTCAATAAAAGGAAACAGGCATGTGAGTGATGCTTCTGGAGAGAGCCCATGTGAGGACTGTATACCTGATCCTTTTATTCTGGCTCCCATTAACACAAGACAACGGCATTTTAAGACTCCTATGTAGCCTACAGCCCTGTGGTGGAGAGTTGTGTTTTGCCTCCAGCTAACAAACTGACGTCATTGTGACATTGGCCCATAAAGGGTCTATATTATGAGCCAATTGTACTCTTCTACCTATGCCATGGACCTTATCTCAAAATCTATGGTCACCTATGGTCATGAGCTCTGGGTAGTGACTGAAAGAATGAGGCAAGTGGCCGAAAGGGTTTCCTCTGAAGGGTGTCTGGGCTCAGCCTTAGAGATAGGGGGAGGAGCTTGAACTTTTGGAAGGAGCTCGGAGTAAAGACGTTGCTGCTGCACATCGAAAGGGGTCAGTTGAGGTGGTTCGGGCATCTGATCAGGATCCTCCTGGGCGCCTCCTGGGAGGAGGCCCCAGGGCAGACCCAGGACTCGCTGGAGGGATTACATATCTCGTCTGGAACACTTTGGGGTCCCCCAGGAGGAGCTGGAAAACATCACTGGGCAGAGGGACGTCTGGGGTGCTTTGCTCACCCTACTGCCCCTACGACCCGCCATCGGATAAGCGGTTAAAGGCTCATTTATGCTCCCTTTACGTATGAAAATGTATACGTCCGTTTCTGCCCACATACTTCCATGCGCCCTTTACTTTGGCATGGTTGTTAACCAATATATCCACCAGGGGGCAGCCCAGCTTCAAAAGTTTATGACAACAACAAACTCAAAAACAAACATGGCGACTGTGGAGGAGATATTGATAATGTACCTCTTGCATAAAAGACAAAAACAGAGGCAGCGTTGTAGGAGGCGGTGGTCTGTGAGGCCGTTAAATACATCGCGACTGGAGGATGGAGAATTCTTTTCTCTAGTACTGCTGATGAAAGAAATTTAATTGTTATTTCTTCTTCGTGTCTCACTAGAGCTACGTATCGGGTAGTGACAGCAACACTGCCCCCACGGTTCCCGGTGGTACTGCTCCGTTTGGTCCGTATCCGTAAGCTTTATGGAAACATGCAGAAATACGGACGAAATGAACGCGGAGCACTGACAGAAGGCTCCGTCCGTATCCGGATCCGTATTTAATGTTGAGCATAAATGAGCCTTAAGAATGAATGGATGGAGGTGTGCCTCAGGCAGGTCATGATAGAAGGCCTTTCAAAAATTTGTTTTAGTGTGGCAGTTACTACGCAGTAACATGTTACTGCCCAACACCGAAAAACACTTTTTAATAACATTACTTTCCCCATGAACGTATGTCGTGCAGTCTGTTGGGTAGGTAGGTGAAGATTTGGGTGTTGGACGTGTTCTGGTTTCTGATTGTAGTCCAAGTAGTATCGACCAATCACGTTAGAACAGCAGGTGAACAGTCCACGTGGAGAAGTGGAAGGCATTGGCCGAAATGCAATCTCACAACCCACTGGCTTTGTCTGATGATGAGTTAGCTTTGAATTTGCCTTTTTTTCGTTTGATCTGCATTCCTATAAATTTCAAAATACTTAAAAACCTGATAACTAAAACGTTCGTCATACCACTGGAGGTAAGTGACAGAACTTGACCTTTCAGCCCCGTGGCCCAGGTGAAGCTCCTGCCAGCTGCAAATGAGAACCATGGGCAAATACAGGATGAAGAATAAGTGCTGTGGCTGTTATCCTTATGATACACATTCATAGTTCCTCGCCTGGAAATTCGACTGAACTGGGGAACAGATCCAAAACAACGAAATAAAAAAGCCACATGTCGACAGAATCATTAGAAGCACAAAGTTATTTTAAAATAACACCGTCACACTCCTCAGTGGGGAGGCACAGTTACTGGTTGAGTCAAAATATTTTTCAACTGGGATTTTTCCTGTTTCCTTGTTGGCGAGAGCAGGGCAGCACTCTGACCGTCTACAGTGTTATCACTCAACAGCCATCTCTATAGGTTTATCAGTTCAGTGGATCAAATGGCACCACCTCCCCCTCTGCAGACAATGAGACATGAAGTTCTTGTCAAAGTCCTGTTGAACAGGATCTTTCTTGGCAGTGAAACAGCGAAGCATGACAACGTGTCATCTGTATACCTGAGCAGGATAAACTGTTCAGACAGTAGATGGTTGGATGGTTGGATGGATGGATGGATGGATGGGCCCAAGTGCACCCACCCTGCCAGCACTGTCTAACTAACTGCACTAACTAAACGCCCGGGCCAGGGGTAAAAGTGAGGAGTCCAATGGCCCCTTCCTAACTCCCCACCCCCCCACTTCTGGCCCACTTGCTTGAACCACTCCCATCTTCAGACAAACAGACATTTAAGCACCTGGCAAAATACCCAAAACTGCTTCTGTGGTACTTCCTGCTACAACTGAGGGGTATTCCAGAAATGTGAAAACTCAGAGTAAGTTAACCCTGAGATGAGGGAAACTCTGAGTTATCCGTTCCAGAAAGAGAGGTAACTGAAACTCTGAGTCAGTCACCATGGTAACAGACTCTGTGAACTTAACCTGCTCGCTGACAGGTTTTCTTCAATAAACCCTAAGTTTTTCTCTGTCTCCTCCCTCTTACATGCTGTTTCATTTCCTCATTCATTCAGTCCGTGTCAAAGCTTGTATTGCAGCGCATTCATTAGCGGAGATTTACCGTCTGTCACAGTCTAAATCCTGCTGGATATTAGTTTGTTACTCAGGACTGTCTTAAGTTACTGAATTTATGCACATCAATCATTTCTTTGGACATCAGTTTTTGTCTTTACATTCAAATATTACACAGCGAGAATTCACCCTCAGCTCAGAATCAAACCTCTGTCCTTTTTATATTTATTATTTTTTATAACACTGTGCACAAGGATCAGACTGTCCGTCTGCTAGAGCAGCTCCCAAAGGTTTATTGCACATAATGTGTAGGTCTAATTATTTAAATTTTAAAAATCGGTATGAAGCTTTAGACACGTAGTATCAGTGACTAATGATTTCTATCACTGATGTCACCGGTCTCTCTGATGGAACTTAATTCCTATAGCCTAATATTGGGGATTATATGTTCATATTTCTGAGTGAGCAATGGTGCAGCATTTCACTGTCTTTAAATTTACTACATTTGTATTTGCACATTTGCCAAAGTGCAACATTTTATGATTTCTATAATCACATTAGGTCACATGTGCGCCATGCCCATTCCAGCTGGTGGGGCACACACTCTACGGTACAGGTTATATGAACACTGAAATAATCCATCTGACAGGTGTGGCAAATCAAGATGCTGATTCAACAGGATCATTGCTACACAGGTGTGCCTCATGAAGAGGGAGCTGAGCTGGAAGGCAAAGCTTTCGATTTACTGGTCCATCTACGTCCCAACTCACCTATGGTCATGAGCTCTGGGTAGTGACCGAAAGAACGACATCGTGGATACAAGTGGCCGAAATGAGTTTCCTCAGTGGGGTGTCTGGGCTCAGCCTTAGAGATAGGGTGAGGAGCTCGGACATCCTGAGGGAGCTCGGAGTAGAGCTGCTGCTCCTTCGTCCGGATAAACAGATGAAGCAGATGAAAATGACTGGATGGATGTTCAGTGACCAAAAGGGGATTATGATTTAAGGGGATTATTTAATTTCAAAAACACATAGTGTGTGTACAACCAGGAACAGTCTTTGTATTTCAACATGTGGCGTTAAGTTCGAATGTGGAGCTCCAGCAATGTCCAAGCATACACCAACTCAAAATAAGGTATCAAGACCAGTTGTTCAACGTCCTCTCGCTCGGCCCTCTCAACCGCCGTGTCTCCACTGAGAGAGCGGAGTAGGAGGAAGGTTCCTGTAAAGTTACTGGGCTCTGGATGTGACTATTTTGACCGGGCGACGTGGGGGTGTAGGGACGCCGTTAGCGGTGTCTGTAATAACTCTGGTCACGGTTCGTGAAAAAAATATTTCTTCCAGTGGATGTCTTAGTTACAACATGATTGAGCTAACTGGAGTAGTTTCATGTCGTATCCGACAACGGGAGGCTTTTAACAGATGACATCCTGATGTTAGCTTTGATGCTGCTGTTAACTGTCCCTGTCAGCAGCGCCACTGATGCTTTCTAGACATTGTGATTTCCCAAAACTGAATAAATACCACACATAGCAACACAAAACTGCTTTGCTAGCTCAATCATGTTGTAACTAAGATATCCACTGGAAAAAATATTTTTTTCACAGACCGTTTGAGTTACTGAGTTATTACAGACACCGCTAACGGGACTAACAGCTAACGGTTAGCCCAGTTAATCTACGATAACCATGTTATTAATTACAAAACGTGCACACAGAAATAGTAATGTTTGTTCAATCATTGTGTTTATAGACTTTACAAACATCACATTAGTCTAAACGGTGATATAGTGACGTGAAAAATGTGAGATATCTAAACTCTGCTGGTTTTCTACTCATAAGTATTTATAAACAACAAAGCGATTTCCTCTATATTGAGCCAGTGATAGTTGAAAAATAACTCCCTTCCGCTGCACGTCGGGTTTCCATTCCCCTGTCGAGAGTTATTTTTCAACAGTCACCGGCTCACTATACATTATCCCTTACGGGAGGAGCTGAGCCATAAAATTACCCCGAAGTTCCTGCGGTGGAAATGGGCCTGTAATGGCTGAATTTTCATTTTTGA